ACACCAGGGACAGGGAAGTCCATAAATAGTTTTTGAGAGAGAGAATAAGGGAGGCTTAACGTTGTATGTTTGCATCTCTTTGGCGCAAGGTCTTGCAGTGCATGGAACAGATGCAGGTCCCCAAGCCATTTGCTTTGAGAGAGCAATACAAAGCTGCTTGGACTGAAAAAGCTCAGGATGAGTCTGAGCCCAACACCAAGAAGCGCAAGACCACCACGGAGAAAAAGAACAAGAATAAGCAGGCTCCATCGTCCTGCAGCAAAGCTGACACAGCTGGTGTGGGTTCATATACTCCACAGGTCTATGGATCTATGCGTCTTGAATTTGTCGACAAGCTCAAGGAGGAGGGTACGTCGCATCGTGATGCTTGTGATAGATGGCATAGCTCTGAACAGAAAAAACCATTTGTTGAAGGATCTTTCGGTATCAGAACTGATCCGCAGAAGGTTTGTCCCAAAAGGTACAACCTCAAATCCGTTTGCTAGCTAAGCATGCATCAATTTGTCATGGTTCACACATGCAAGAAGTAGCCTGCTGTGTGGGAAAATGATTGGTGTGATATTGTCCCAGCTCAAAGTGGTGGCAGTATGTATACTGAATGAATAGGTGAGATGTTAGTATGGGTGGTACAAACAATGATTGATTGTTCCATGCTATATGGAACTTGGCCTCACCAATGCAAACCAATTCACCACCGAACCTTTTGTGGTTCAAAGAGCTTCCAATTAAGGGAAGGACTTTTTGTGTTTAGGGGGGCACATGATCCTGGAACTTCAACGATGGCGTGCACCATGGGCGCTGATGCTGCTGTTGTTGTTGCTTGAGTTCAACAGCAAAGTGCCTTCAACACAGAATGTCCAATTCGTGGGGCTCTTTGCTGGGCAAGCAGAAGTGAGCTGCGCTTTGCGCTCCTGTGGTTTATCTGGCTCCACTCACGACATCAACATCGACCCGCAGTACATGGACCTGTGTTCAACTACAGGCTTTTTGCATCTCTGTGGCTACATGTAAGTTTTCTCTGTATATACAATGTATATTTGTTTGTTCTATATGTTCTGCTCCAACCTCCATATATGCGCATACCATTTTAATGAGACCAACAATGATAAGGATTGTTTTTGGTTGCTGTTTGATTCTTTACTTGAGGCTGGCTGTGAATGAGCTTCGCAGGGCGGAAGCGGGGAGTCTATGTATTTTTGCATTATGCTGTGCTTCCTTTTCTCGCATGTGCTTGGGAGTTTACTTACTTTTTTACTTTGCTTGGGGGTTTGAGTATAACATGTATACAGGTGGCTCAGTTCACACCAGGAGCCGGGCAACAGCTGGAAGGAACATATTGTTTCCGCTTGGAAACATCCAATATGGCTTTGTGCAAACTGGCAACTTGCTTTCATCGAGGCTGATTCTGATGCTCTACATTTGCTGCTGGAAAGGCTCGCGGTGGATTGTGGAGCAGCCTGAGGGTACAGCCTTTCCTTTGCTGCCACGTTGGCAAGAGTTCCTAAAGGTGGCCCAAGCTGCTCATCTGTATTTTTTGGGATGTCTCATTTTTGTTGGGTGTTTAATTACAAAAGATATTGAACAGAACTTTGCAAAACACAGTCTGTGAGGTATACAGCACATCATTTTGGATGGGGAAGTTTGGAGGCGCTACAGCGAAGCGCCATCGCCTCTGGTCGAACGACTACAATCTCCTCCAAGAGATCCACCATGAAGCTGGCAGCATGACCAGGGCCGAGATGGCATCTTTGCCTGGGGGCACACTGGTGAAAAAGTATGTGGACAGAAGTGGTTTGGTGCGCTGCACAGGATTGAAGGAGAAGCTGAAGCAGTCCCAGCTTCTTGGGCCTACTTTTACTTTGGTATATGTGCTCAAGTTAGTTCGTGTCAATCTTTGGTTGCCTCAAAAACCAACAGCTCGAGAGTGTGCATAATTAATATCTGCCCTTTGTTGCCTCTCGGTCTCTTGAGAATATTTAAGGACCTACACTCGATGCTTTGGACAAAAGCTGGCCTGGCTCGCCATTGCATTGAAAAAGGACATGGGGTGGCCAATGTGGTTGAGGGTGAGCAACAGAATTGAACTGAGCTCCAAAATTAGTTCAAATGTGTTGGAAGCTAGTTGTTCTTATTCTGATGCAATTACCCTTGAGGATCCACTACCTGGACCAAAGATCTCGACTTATGTTGATGGATCGCGTGGTGATTTCGAGCTATTCATGGACCGGTGTTTGCCTGGCTTGGGGCTCTCTGCATTGGGCGACCTTTGGCCTGATGCAACTGGATTTGTGATAGTAATGTGTTTGACAGGGTGAGAGGACATAAAGGTTCCCTGGCAACCTGGATCTTGGGGATATGGTGATGTTGTGGAATCTTTCGCCTTGTGAGGCAGAGTTGGAGACTGTTCCTTGTCACAAAATGGCAATGTTTTGTTGGGATTGGGTTAAGCCTCAACTTTGGTGTCCCTTGATCCATCCTGTCCAGCTGTGACCTAGCCAAGGCTATCACGTACTTGGCGAAGTGCAAGTATCTCCAGCCACCTGGGCGTTGGGAAACTTGGAAGGATCTTGAAAGGTGTTTCTGTCGCTTTGGATTGTGGCCCCAACGTTGTACAGATGGAAACTTCAAAAAAAGATCGGGGAAGCTCCAGGGGTATATATGATGACCATGCTTTAAATAGATAGTGCAATGAACATGGGGTTGACTTGGCTGGCATGTTAAGGAGGAGGCCTTTGCTGCGCTTGGCTTGCGGAAGCCAGTGAATTCTGGTGGATCCTTTCTCACTGCCACCTAGCTGTGGGGTATCCATAGTGCCTGCAAAACAAATTCGTTTAGAGTGGGGTCACTGCTCACCTATGGTTTCACCCTGTGACCCCATATGCACAGGGTGGTCATCTGCACAAACCATGCCCCCGTAGTACCGTGAAAATCGCGTGAAATGTACGTGAAAAACCACCAAATGTACGCGAAAACGCCGTGAAACGCGTGAAAGGAAGTTCATGGTGTTTTCCAATGTGTTTGTTTCATGTTGTCAGTGATTTTCAAAGGGTTCTTTAAGCTTGGAGTGGTTAATTCCACAAGCAATTTGTCGGTCAAGTCTTTGGTATAGTTTGGTGGCCTGTTAGAGCTATGGTGCTGCCTGAACTTCCGTTTCCCTTGGAAGAGCTCAGCTGGGACAAGTTCACAGAAGTCCAGACATCTATGGGATTGGAGCCTATGGACACGCTCAAGGTCATGAAGTTGGTTTTGGGCGATGACCCACCTGCGGTGCCCTGTATGTCAATAACATGATATCTTTTGTTTTTGGTTGACCATCCACGCTGTTGATTCCCCCGAACCGTCCCAAGGGCCCCTGCTATATAAAGCGCTGATATCTCAGGCCCTCCTGAATTCCATCGATGGCTCGGCTCAGACTGCCAAACCGAAAGCGAAAGCGAAAGCCAAAGCAAAGGGAGCTCCAAAAACAAAAGCGAAGGCGAAGGGGAAGGCCAAAGCAAAAGCGGTGGCTAAGAAGAAGGCCAAAAGCAAGCCTAAGAAGGCTGTGCTCCGTGCAGGGCGATCGTCCCGGGTCCTGCAGCCAGAAGATGGAGAAGAAGAGGAGCTTGAAGATGATGAGGCCATTGAGCCTGAGGTGGTGCTGAAGCGGCCAGCCAGCGCCAAAGTCAAGGCCGTGAAGGCCAAGGCCAAGGTGATCCCGACGCCGACACGAGTGCGAAAACCGGAGATTGAGGTTGAGGTTGAGCCCATTGACACCAAGGAGGCTGAGCCTGTGGAAAGCATGGGCCCCCCCGTACGTCGTCGACTACGGCCCGCTCTTATTGATGGTGTGGAAGAGTCCCAATTGCAACTTGGCTTCAGATCTAGTAAAATGTTACTATATTTCTGGTACATCAATTCTCAAACCCATACTGGGGCCTGAACATAGGGGTCTATATATATATATAATATATGTTTGTAAATCACATGGTGCTCCCAGTAAGGTCCTGTGGTACCTTTCAGCAAGGGCTTCAGGTGGTTGAGGGACAGAAGTTTCCAGCAGCTGCTGAGCATGCTGAATCGCAAGTTGACTCATTGCAGTGGCTTGTTTTCTATTGGACTGGAGCGTTCATCTTTCTTCAAGTCATAGGCTCAGCTAAGCCTTTTTCTATTTTTTTTGACAATTTATGTTTTCATTCAAGGTTGGGTGACAGTGTCACAACTCTGTCGTCGGGATCTCTGGAGATGCAGTCGGCACTAACTGAAGCTCACGCGAGAATCATGGCCCTTGAGAAGCAGCTTTCTCATCAAGCGCAGGAGCCTTCTGTTCATGCGACCCTGTCACGGAGGCCACATATATCAGAGACAACAGAGACTTGGTCTGGTTCAACCTCTTTTCTAGAGTTGGATTTCCCATTGTGGACCAATGTTTTGAATGTTTGGTTCAATGTTGCGAAGGTTTTGCTCAAGCGTTGCACCCTTTAGGAGATGCATCTCGATGGTGCACCTTTGGACGCTGCCTCGGACCGTACTCGTGACTACTTGGCTACGCGGAAGAAGGCCAGGCTTGCCTCTGAATCCCAGAGCACCGTGCCTGCGCCTATGCCAAAGGAACCATCACCTGGAACTTTGGCGGATACGGAGTCAGAAGTTGTCATGGTCGAGGAAAGCGTGGAGGTGTCAGACAACCAGCTTGGCTTGGATTCAATGTCGGATGCTCCGACTCTTCGGCTTGGTGAGTTCGATGATGATGACGAGGTGGAGCCAACACAAGTGCAACCAGGATGCACAGTTCCACTTCTCCCTGTTCCTCCTCTACCAGCTCCTGTACAGGAAAGTCCACCATGCACAGCGCTTGCACTTTCCAATGGACCTCCGCCTCCAGCCCCAGCTGATTCTGCGCCAGCTCCTTCACCAGCCACTCAGGGACAAGATCCAGAAGTGACTCAGCTGGCCATGGTACCCCAAGCACTTGCTCAACCAGCAAGCAGTGCAAGCTCCTCCAACCCTACCAGCCCCTCCTGCTCAACCAGCAGGTGAGGCAGTGCAATCTCCTCCAGTGGCTGCTCAACCAGCAGTTGAGGCAGTGCCATCTCCTCCAGCGGCTGCTCAACCAGCAGCTGAGGCAGCGCAATCTCCTCTATCCAGTGGCTGCTCAACCAGCAGCTCCGCCTGCAGCGCCTGCTCAACCAGCAGTGCCTGCTCAACCAGAGCCACCTGCAGTGCCTGCTCAACCAGCAGCTCTGCCTGCAGTGCCTGCTCAACCAGCAGCTCCGCCTGCAGTGCCTGCTCAACCAGCAGTGCCTCCCCCCAGCCAGCAGCTCTGCCGCCCGCAGCTGATGCGGCGCAAGCTCCTCGAGATCCCTTGCCTTCTCAAGCAGCAGCCCCTCCAGCGCCTGCTCGACCAGCAGGATCTCCAGCACCAGGAGCTGGTACTGCGCAAGCTCTTCCAGCAGCAGCTCCAAGTCCACCAGCTGCCATGGTCTCTCCTTCTATGACAGGCCACACAGGCGCAACAACGACTGCGGGCATGAGTTTCATGGACCTCCCTGCGGACATCCGGTGTTTGGTGTCTAATGGACTGGTGATCCAGCCGCCTGCAGAGGCCAGGGATGCTGCTGATGATGAAGAAGACAAAGGAGTCAACACTTCCACGCACAGGAACGCTGCCATGAGGCTCAACCGCTTCATGTCATCTGCGCAAGCTGCGAAGTTTCCGCGCATGGCTACATTATTCAATGGCACGCCAGAAGTGCCTTGTTGGAATTAGACATATTTTTTGTTTTAATTGTCTTTGCCAAAGTCTTCTATTGTTTGCAGTCGGGCCTGCTGCAGGACAAAATCAAGCTCCTGCGATCTTGGGTAAAATGTGGTGAGAATAGCCGTGCAGAGAGGGAGCCATGGTCAGTCAGGGACATGCTCCAAGCGAACTTGCCGATTGAGAAAATCAGGTCAATTGTAAGCCGTGGGGGAGCAACCCCAGATCCGGACTGCCCAGAGGTTGAAGAGTGCTTCCAGTATTGGGTGATCACCAAACGCCGCCGGACGTCATCTGACGTGGTCACCCAAATGCCACGACTCGCATGAATGTGGAGACCACGCCAGAGAATGTCGGCGAGCTCTTGAATGCTTCCTTTACGCCTGCTTTCAATGCTGCTGCGCCTGCTCCAAGGCCTGCGGCTGGATCGAACCCTGCAGATATTGTGCCCCGGGCGCAGCAAGCTTTGTCAGGTGTGCTGGGGTGGCGGTGGGCAACTCTCCTTGAGTACATATGTGTCTGCATATGTATATCATAGTGCATATTTTTGATTTGAATGATCCACCATTGATCCCTTGAGGTGGGCAAGCTCCGCAACCAAAGGCAAAGGCCAAGCGTACGCCCAAGCCCAAAGCAGCTCCAGTGCAGCCTGCAGAGCCTGCCAGCGCTGATGAGTTGAAGTCTTCCCTTAGCCTTTAGCTTACAAATATGCATCATTTATTTTTCCCCTTGAGCTTCCACCTTCTTGCTTGGCCTGTGTAATTGTTTGGTTGTCCCTCTAATATACTGAGGTTTTTGGAGGAGTGTCTTGGTTTTACAGTCTACTTATAGAACTATGCTTGATCTCTTTTGGGGTCAGTGGTGCTGAGAGGAGGCTTGCTTTTTGTTTCTTCACCATAAGTAAGGCTGAAGAGCCTGAGCACCATGCAGCAATTGAAGGAGTTGCAGGATGAGATGACCGACAATGTACCCTGTTTACAAACCTAACTTTTCTTGTGTATTTTGTTGTTAACCACCTGAACAATGCTATATATATATATATATTGTGATTGACACAAAGGTAGCAACAAAAGATCCTCCTTCCCTCGCACAGCCGCAGCTCACCTGAAGGTTGGTACGAACGGTCGGGCGCCTCGCCCTGCAGTGTCCTCACTGCTTCTATGGCTCAGGTCACGGGTGACCCACCCTACACCACCCTTGCGGCCTCGCACACTCGTGGCTTCGGACATGAACACACCTGAGTGGGTCAAGGCTGGTTCCTCAGTGAGAGAAAGAAGCTCTACACGCTGATCTCAGACTCTGCTGATCTCAGACTTGGGCCTAAAGATTCGAAATTCACACTCATCAAAAATTCTATCTATCTTTTTCTTTGGTTGTGCGTCGATCATCCTTCTTGCTGCTGATCCTCCATCAGAGGGATCCCAGACTCAAGCCACTTGAGGCGTGTTCTGCTGTCAGCTCGCTCTTTCAGCACTTGCAGTTCGTCGTTTAATTGATACATGCCTCGTTGCAAAGTGTATCGGAGGAAAGTTCCTTGCATCACCTTAGTTAGTGCATCCGCGAGCTGAGCTCCTGTATGAACCCATCTTAACTGAACGCCTTCTGATAGCAAATCTTTTATTGCCTTTGCTTGAAGTTGTGTACGGAATTCCTGGCAATTTGGTTGAGCAGTTCGAGTAACCAAATCATACAAAGATTTGCAATCTGTGACAGCTACGGATCGTGGCAAACACTGGGCCAACGCTGTCGTTGATTGGATTGGTTTGGGTTCACCTTTGAAAACCTCATGTGGTCGTTTCGAATTGACTTGGGGATTTTGGATCCATGCCCAATAGAGTCTCATCCAAGATAGCTGGTCTAAGCTTGTCTGGAGTGACGTTGTTTCGGCTGACAAAGTACTCGTGACTACTTTCTGGATCTTGCAGGACAGTGGGCTGACTGGACATTGATAGTTTTCACTTATGTCCTTATGGGTGGCCAAGATTATCATACCTGTGTGACTTTCTGGACTCTTGGCTGACGCAAATGATGCGTCCGAGAATAACAAGAATCTGAGATCCTTGATTGGGATGGGTTGGATTCTTACGCAGGTGTCTTTGTATCGTTTGGCTTCATGAAGTATACGGTTGGCATCGTGTAACGTTTGGGCCGTGGCTCTGTTGATCACTTTGGATATAGCTTAGTCGACTTGAAAGATCCGGTCTCGTGTTGATGCTCGCATACTGAAGACTTCCCACAAGTGCACGGAGCGAGTGTCTCTCTTCGGAGGTCACCTCATCCGTCAGACATGTTCGTCTGCTTGCATTCATGTGAATTGGCTCGATCTTGCTTACATACTTGGATTGGGACATGATGATACTTTTGTCAGCCTGTTGGTTCATTTCAACACCGGTGAACGTGAATTGACCTACTTTCTTTGATCCAAAAGGAAATTTGGCTTCTAGCTTTGCGATTTGTTCTTCAAAGTATTGATCCCCTCCACCTAGTCCATCGTCAACATGAACTCCTAGGACCCCTGAAATTTTGTTTTGTTCTGGTTTGTATAGTACGTATGCACATGGGTCGAAGGGCGCTGGAATGAAGTTCAAATCACGAAGGGTCCGATCCAACTCCTTATGCCATAAATAAGGAGCATCGATCAAACCGTAGGCTGATTTCTCCAGTTTGCAGATTTGATTGGGTTGAAGCTTTAATGCCTTTCGAAGTTCTTCAACAGGTTCGAGGCCTAAAACTCGATCTTCCTGCGTTTTGCCTTGCAAAAATGCAGCTTTGATATCGAAGCTCTTCAGAGTCCATCCCATGGATGAGATTGCTTGCAACAAGAGCATTTTGGATTGCTTTCCAAGTGTCGGCGAGTCCCGGGGTATGCTGTCTAACTGGGGATCTTGGTATCCAAGAACGACTAAGCGGGCTTTCGGTTTGTGGGTCTTTGGTCCTGGTCTGACGTTCTCAGTTGATCCGGTTTGGAGGTCATCAGCATCAAGAGGTTTCCATACGCATATCCAGCGGCATCGCATTACCTGTTCCGGACACAGCTGATCCCGGAAGATTTTACTCACCGTTCCTGTGTTTAACCAATTTGTGATCTCCTTCTCTTTTGCCTGACGAAAAGGGCTTGTTCTTCGGAGGACAATTGGTGCATCTTTACTTCAGTTCGGTCCCGCTTCGTTGTGGTAGTCATCATGATAAGATCTGTTGCTGGTGAGTTTTCATCCCATTTCATCATTGTTTCTTCAATTAACAGGAATTCAGCTTTCCATCCTATGGCTTCTGAGTCTATTTTGGTTTGGCACCAGTTGACCTGATCTTCTACACTTAGTAGGTAGTCACATACGAGTTCATCACTGAGATCGGATGCTTCGCTTGGGGCCGGCACATTTGCTGCGTCCTGATGACCGCCGGGGTCACTGGGCAATTCGATGCTTTGTTGACTCACTGGAGACACTTGGCTCTCTGGAAGTGAGGGCTCTTGATCTGGCTGGACTTCTGATGAGTTCGATGTGTTTTCTGTTCCTTGGTGTTGTGGTATTATACTGCCGTCTTCTGAGTTCTCTGGTGGAATTTCTGGTGCTCTTTCACTGACATTGGCAGTTTGAGTCCTTTCACCTTCAATCCCTGCGATCGGACTTAATGCTTTGGGGATATGCTGGGCTTCCATGGCACTTACGGGTCGAACATGTTCTGGGGCTATCTTTACCAAACTTCCTGCATGATTACACCAAAGACAATGAGGACCTTCTTGTTGGATGACTCTGGCTGGACCAAACCACCCCCGTTGGGTTGGAGTCTGTCTCCATAGCATCACCCAAGTTCCCCTGTCATAGGATCCTCGGTGAGGACAGCTTCGCCGGAGAACAGCTCTTCGCAACGCAGAGCTGTTGTCTGCACTGTGAAATGCTCGTCTTGCCGCTTCTCGGTATGCCAGCTTCTCTCGAAATCTGATTCCTTCCTGGGTGTCGTCGTCTGCTAAGAGGTGCGATGGCAATTGCTCATCCGATGAAGTTGATGCGGGAATTCTAGACCTTTTCCAAAAACAAGAGTTTCTGGGGAATATCCCTGTTTCTGGCTCAGTGCATTTTTGGCCGAGGTGCAATGCGATAGCGCTGTCTGCAGGTTGGTGTATGACGTTATTGGATGTTCCTGCTCATACTTCTTGAGCATCTCCTGGAGGATTCCACCATGTCTTTCCACCTTTCCGATTTGCCAGTGTGCGCCCGGTGGGGTAACTATGGCTTTGATGTTGAACTGGCCTAGGAAGGTGACAAATTCCTTGGAGGTGAATTCCGTACCTGAGTCCGTGTGAATCTCAACCGGAGCCCCTGCCCATTGGAGCCATCCATTGAGTACCTTATCTATGGCGTCATCACTGCTTTTGCCTGGGCTCGCACATGCTACCTGGTAGTTTGTTCCATAATCGATGAGGTGATAGAAATGGAAGTTTGTTCCTGCCAGATTTGTGTATACAACACCATCTATCCCAATACAGTCGTTGAAATCAAGTTCACGTTTGATTGTCGATGGTCTTTGTTCCCTAGTATTCTGACATACAGAGCAGCTCAAGTCCATGGCAGCTTGACACAGTCGTGGTGAGTACCCCTGTTGACGCAACATTGAACACAGCTTTTGACCATGAGGGTGTCCTAGGTTCTGATGCAGTTTCACCAAAAACGATCTTTCTTCGGCTGATACGGTCTTAAACTTTGGGCCGTGGTCAGGGCTCGGCA